AGAACATCATGTTAGAAGATATAGACCAGAACGTACTTATGGGAATAGATTATCTTGTTTTATTTGTAAACAACCTAATCATTTAGCAACTAATTGTCCAAATAAACATAATTCTTTTAACAGAGAAGCTCACTTAGTAGAATTATTTTCAGAAGACCTAATAGAAATAGATGACAATATATTAGAAACAGAAAGCATTTATAGTATAGTCTCAGAGGACATAGATTTAACAGATTTTATAGAACAAGAAAATACAGGATTCATAAATGAAATGTTAGAAAAATAAATTTTTTATAAAAGGTCTGGCATAGTTTAGTAGTCCTAAAAATTGTTGTAATTTCTTCGTTTCTTTTATTTTATCTGAAAATTCTAATACCTTTTTACAAATATGTGGTTGTAATTTTATTTTTGATACTGTATGAGATAGTCTTCCTTGTAACTCCCCTATTTCAGAAATTTATGAAATTATTGGATCACTTTGTGATCGAGATATTTTACACATTTCTTTGAGTTGCCCTGTCAGAGAATGAGCTTTTTCTTTTAAATTTTTATTTTCTTCTTCTAGATTTCTAGATTTAAGATTTAGACTTCTAATTGCTTCTTCCATAACCTTACAATATCTACAAAATTGAATGCTATGAGTATTATCATATGCTACTGAATTAGAATAACTTCTACCACTATTGCTGCTACTAGGGGCTTCTGTACAAGATTGCACTAGCACCCTCATGCTATCCATACTAGCTTTGCTATCTACATGAAAACTGATGCCAATATTTTTTCTAACAAAATCCAAGACTTCATGGATGCTATGAAAAGCTTTCCACAAAGGATTTTGAAAATCTTTAATTTGTTCTACTACTGAAATCCATTTGGAATAAATTCCAGGTGTTTTACCCTGAACTACTGCATAATATGAAAAACTTTGTTTTGGTAGATTACTGAAATAAAATACTAAAATATTTAAATTTTTAATTCTATCAGAATTACTTCTACTATTCCAGAGGTTATCTAAGATATCCTGCTGAATTTCTTCTAAATTACCTTTCTCACAGCTGAAAAAATGTAAATTAGATCCTTTAGGATACTTGTTAAGTTCCCATTGGCCAATTTGTACTTTGGGTAGCTGCCGTGCCATTTGCTAAAAGATCAAAAGAATTGTTAAATAGACGGGATAAAAAATCCGCTAAGTTATTATCTTTTCCCTTAATATGTTCAAACCTAACTTTATATCCATTACCTATAATGCTATCTACAAAGTTTAACCATCTTCTAGTAGAACTTCTTTTTTTATTGTGTTTATCAAAAAACTTTTTTATTGCCTCATAGTCTGTTCTAATAGTAATTTCTGGTTTGTTAAGTATAAAAAGTCTAAAGTTGTTTAAACTATATTTTACTGCTAACAATTCATTGTCTATGCTGCTTCTATTACCTTTTTCTTTATATTTGCCACTGGCATATTTACAAATTTGTTCACTATTTTTGCTATTATATTTATTTGGTTTTGCAAAAAGAACTGCTCCCCATCCTATACTACTGCCATCACATTCAATTATTAAATAATCTGTATCTAAAAGTAATTTTAAATCTGTTAGTTTACTTACTATTTGTTTTATTGCTTGGACCAATTTTATATCTTCTTTATTAAAAAATTTTTGTCCTTTTAAAGATGTTTTGTTGTATAATGGTGCTACTAAATTATTTAAATTTTTTATAAAAGGTCTGGCATAGTTTAGTAGTCCTAAAAATTGTTGTAATTTCTTCGTTTCTTCTATTTTATCTGGAAATTCTAATACCTTTTTACAAATATGTGGTTGTAATTTTATTTTTCCATGTCCTATTTCTGTTCCTAAAAATTCTATATTTTTTCTAAAAAATTGTGCCTTTTTATTACTAATTATTATTCCATGTCTAATAAATTCTGCGAAAACTAACTTTAAGTGTCCAACATGTTCTTCTTTATTTTTTGAAAATACTAATATATCATCTATGTATACTATGACAAATTCTTTATATTTGTTAAAAATATTATCCATTTTTCTTTGAAATATTGCCGGTGCATTTTTTAGTCCGAAAGGCATTACTAACCATTCAAAATGTCCTAAAGGGCATGTAAAAGCTGTCCATTCTATACTATCTGCGTGCATTCTTACTTGCCAAAATCCTGATTTGCAATCAAATTTGCTAAAGATATATCTATACTGGATTCTATTTATTAGCTCATTTTTATCTGTTATGTCATAACTATCCTTTTTAGTATTATCATTTAACCTTTTATAATTTATTACCATTCTACTTTTTCCTCTGACTATTTCACTATGTTTTCTAACTATGAATGCTGCAATTCTATGTGGACTGGTACTTCTTCTGATTATTTTTAATTTATTTAAATCTCCTATATGCATTTCAAATTCTTTTATGTCTTCATTACTAGCTTCTATTTTTGCTGTGCTAATTTTTAAATTTGGGTTTAAAATTTCTAACTTACATTCTGTTTTATCTTTTTCCCAATGAATGGTTGGATTTTCTCCAAAAATTTCTAGTTTTTCTAACTTACTTATTAATTGGTCTATATCTGTGTGTCCTGTTTCTAACATATTATAGATTTTCTCATTTTGTAAAAGGTCTAAACTTCTTTCTATTTCATTAAAATCTTCTCCTATGCTTTCTATAGTTTCTATATTATTAAATTCTTCTATTTCTTCTATAGTTTCTATGTGGTTACATTTGCAATCTTTTGCTCCTTTACATTTACAATTATGATTTTCTATATTTTTATTGTCTTTCCTTACTCCTGGTGTAATGAACGTGTTATAAGATAAAGTATGGTCTCTTAAGAATGTTAACCCTGTCCTTGTAATAATCATGCCATGATATGATTGTAGTATAAAGGCTAGTCCTAAAATCATTTGATAAGGAAAATTTCTAACATATATTTCTTCTACTGGATAAGGTGGTGTGCAGTGATTATTATCTATTTCAAAAAATAAGAAACTATTATGAATTGCAGTGTCATAGGTATAAGTATTACCATCCATTTGCCTTGCAGTTCTAATTTATATGCTTTTTCATAATATTTTTCTAGTATTAGTTCTTGTTGGATAACTATATTACTAGCTCATGTATCTACTATTGCTAAAACTTCTGTATCAAAGTCTCCTATTATTATTCTAGTTTTTATTTCAATGGAAATTACCGTTGGTATCCCTGCTTGTAATAATTCAGAATCATAATTATGTCTTATTAATTCTGGAAAAATTTCTATATCAGCATTCTCTATATATACTTCCCTTCCTATTGATTTTCCTTTATCAAATTTTTCTATTTTTTGCTCTAATTGTTCTATTTTATTTTCTAAAATTCTTATTCTTCTTTCTAAATAATGCTCTAAGGGCACAGTACTTTCAGTTTTATCCTTTTTAATTGGTTCTAATAAAATGTATATTTGTGTTAATTTTTCCAGGCAAAATTTACATCCTTCTGCATAACATAATTGACATTGAAATCTTAACTCTATTGTTGGGTATCTATTACAATTATAACAAGCTTTACTATAATTACCTTTTCTATGTTCCCATTTATGGGTACATTCTACTTCTACTAAATCTAAGTCGTCTAATTTTTTAAAATCTTCTTTTATTTCTTCTAGGTATATGTTATGCATTATCATCATATCATGTACTTATAATAATAATAATATATAATGTACAATATATTATTTTAACAATATATTATTTTAGTATTTGTTAATTGTTATATGACTATAATAATACAAATATTTAGTAATACATAACAATATAAGATAACTATAATACTTATTATTTTATACATGAGTAACATGACTAGAATTAGATAATAATTAATATATATGTATAAAACTAAATATTAAACAATAAATATAATTAGTAATTAGAATTTAGATATTGGTAATTTGATACATCATTCATGTTTGAATTATTGAATAATTGAATGCGTAATCTGTAACTTGCAAGCATTAGTGTACTTTAAATTTACATTACATATTTAACATAAAAATTCATATTATCTATTCACTAATCTTAAGGTTTTAAGTATAGACAAGACAACTAAGCAGTTAGCAGTTAGCAGTGTAAGTGAATGCATATGAATTGCAAATCAATTTATTAGTGTATTGACTTTCACAATAACATATGTAAGTAATTAAGTTTTATTTTAATTTGAAATAAATTATAAGTTTGTAACTAATATAACTTATCACTAATCATTGTAATTTGTAAGTTTGTAACTAATATTACTAATTACTAATCATTGTAAATTATAAATTCATAAATTATCACTAATCATTGTACAGTCTAAGGTTTATTCTAGTTTAAATTAATCCCTTTTTAGTTGTTCCTTAAATCATAGACTAAGGATTCTAGGCATAAGTGATCAAATAAGTTAAAATTCATATTATCTATTGACTAATCTTAAGGCTTTAAGTTTAAACAAGACAACTAAGCAGTGTAAGTGAATGTATGTGAATTGCAAATCAATGTTTTAGTGTATTGACTTTCACAATAACACGTGTAAGTAAATAAGTTTTATTTTGATTTGAAATAAATTATAAGTTTGTAACTAATATAACTTATTACTAATCATTGTAATTTGTAAGTTTGTAACTAATATTACTTATTATTAATCATTGTAAATTATAAATTCATAAATTATCACCAATCATTGTATAGTCTAAGGTTTATTTTAGTTTAAATTAATCACTTTTTATGTTTTCTTAAATCATAGACTAAGAATTCTAGGTATAAGTGATCAAATAAATGCCAATTAAACCACAAAATGATTAGAACATAAGTAATGTATTCATTTATGAATAAATTTGGGAATCAAATCAGTAATAATTTTTAAATCATTAAGGAGCATAATGAATGTATTATAATTTAGGAGCCCCAATTTGTAAATTAAAAATTACACAATCACTTCCTTCGGGTGAATTTGGGAAAAGTCGGATTTCAGCTGATAATATGAACAATCACTGCCTAGTGCCTTCACCTAGGGCTTTAACAGCTTCACTCCCAAGTCCCAATTCCCAAATCGAAGCTGCTCTCCGGCCTCCGCCAGTCCGCCACACTCTACGTCTCCTGTCTCCATGTCAGTCCTCATTCGACCTCATTTCTCACTTCACCAGTTCATCGCTGCCGTGCTGGTTCATCGCTGCCAAGTGCTGAAGCCGAAGCACCAATCACTGCTCTTCTCTGGCTCGCTTAGGTAAGTGCTCATCTCTGGCAGTAAAATGGCCAAGATCGACTCGGAAATTTGTTATCTTGAATTGGTAAGGGGACGAAATCTGACTATTTGAGCTTCCAATTGCAAACTCTCACTTTTGTAGTAGTTTAGATTAGATTTGATATAACATAAGCTTTGTATTTTATACACAAGAAATCTCTCTCCAGTTGTGCAGCCTTTAAAAGTTAAGGCCTTGGGAAAAAATTCCACCTTTTACCCGTTAGAAAAATTAAAAAGGAAAAAACTTGCTAAAATGAAAATTTTACCTCTTTTTGTCCGTGGAGATTCTCTTAATTAATGGGTCTTGCCAACATTCTGGATGAAGTTATGCACTTGTGCTTCTTTGAAACTAGTCTATTCTTGGCCTTGAATATTATATTGGCCTACAACCTAGATTTAAGTCTTGATCCAACAGGAGAATATTTTTGGGCTGAACAGGTTTCTGTCCAAAAGTAATATGATAAAATGTCCCTGACCCAATTTCTTTGTGTGCATTATATGCAAATCTGGCGAAGTTAAAACTGAATCTGTTTCAGTTCATTAGTTCAGGCTGTTCAGCTGCTGATTAATATGTTTAGTTTTTTTTCTAACTTGTAGTTGTATTGTATATTGGCAGTTGGCACTCCAGATTTGTAGTTGATGAATTTTGGCATTTGTAATGTGTGTGTAATAACTCAGGGAAGCAGCGTTGCAAACTTAAGTTGATAACAGGGTATTAAATTTTTTTTTAATAGATGAATTCGGTTAGACCGAATTGATTACCATTTTCGAATTTGAAATCAGTTGCGGAATGAATTCGGTTATGACCAATTTGAAATTGAAAACGGTTTAGATCTCTATAGGTTGAATAACCGAATTCACCAAATTCATTGCACCAAATGACCGCTTTTGCACCAAATGCACACCCCTAAATCAGTTGCGGAATGAATTCGGTTATGACCAATTTGAAATTGAAAACGGTTTAGATCTCTATAGGTTGAATAACCGAATTCACCAAATTCATTGCACCAAATGACCGCTTTTGCACCAAATGCACACCCCTAGATCTGGCCATCTCCAGCCATGGAGTGATCGTTAGGTAATTTTCTTGTTTTGTGTGCAGATATTTCAGTATGTTGAATTGTCGATACACAAGTGCATTAACGTGTCCATTGTCTTGAAAGGAGAACTGATTATGTCTGTGTTATCTTGACGTGCATCTTTGTATGCCACTACCAGCTTTAGCCTTGCAATTTATTGCCTGGAATAGGTGTAAGCACTATAAACTTGGACAAATGTATGAATCTCTCTACTTTCTCCTTGAGTCCAAAAATTGATTTCTGGGGAACATATCTGACTCATTCGACTTGATTCATTTATCCTACTAATACTTAAGAAGTATTTTTACTTCCACTATTCAATGCTTTTCATCTTAACAGGATTTTTATAAAATTTTTGAGGAAAGGTTTTAGTGCTTTGAAGCATTGTGCACCAATTTTATGTGCAGCCATATTTTGTTTAATTACCTTTTCACCCTTTTGCTTGAGCTAAAGTTCACCTCTGAGAAGGGCATTTCCTAGTATAATATAGAAAGGGGTTTATTTTACACTTGTTCTCTCTCTGATTTACGACTGCCTATTCAGGGTTTATAGTGTCCTTCCTTTATGAGTTTGATATGTCCTTATTGCAATGGGCACAAGTATTCCGAATGAAGCTTAGAGTTTTCGTAAATGCACTCTGGTATCCCCTTCTGCTTTCAACAGCGTGCTAAGCTGAGATTATTAATGGCTAGCTGCTATGTGAATTTGCTGAAATGTCCTGGAAGGTGCCATTCTGACTCTTGAGCTGAGTTTTAAAAGCTCCTTGGATTTTCCATAATTTGCTGTTGTAATGAAGTTGTTCTTCAGTGTTCATTAAAATTGTATTAAGCCATGGGATGGCTACTACCATTTGTTGGTCATTTATATCGGATCCAAGAAACGGCTTGTTCTTCCTCTCTTACGATCCGTTGATTTCACATTATTTGCCACAATTAGGTTTAGGTTGTTGGCTATGCTTTATTCGTCTTGTGTCTTTTGGTTTTAGGTCTTTTAAAGGATCTTAGTTTCTTCTCTCTTTACCTCTAATTTTATCAATTTTATGCAAGTTTTTGTTACCGAAAAACTCAGAAAAAATTACACACAAAAACTCACTGAACTGTGTGCCTTTAGAATTGAATAGGGATATGGCTCGTCAAGCAACAAGACCACTTGATTGGAAATTTGGCATCAAAGCTGCTGCAAAACTCCAATGGGAAATCCAAGCAGCTGCGCCACTTCGGACCACCTCCTTGCACGGTCTTGGTTGACAAGAACACTAGCATCATCTGCCAGGGCATCGCCAGTGAAAACAGAAGCTTACAAACTGAACAAGCCACCAAATTCGGCACGATTATGGTAAAGAAAGAAAACATTGACAGAACTCGTATATGTACACTTAAAGTTATGTTAAGCAATTAATTATTGATCCAGGAACTATTCTGCCAATACTTTTGATTGATTGTATCCTCGTCTAAGCTATTATATGACTTATATAAGTCATTTCAACTGCTAGATTTTGTAGACTGTTGGAAATCAACTTCCAATACTGATTTTCCATGCTTTATGGTGAGCATGAATACTTGCAAACGATCTGGAGATAAATTGGCTGTAGCTTCAGCTTTTTAATTATCTTGGCCTTAATCTCATAATACCATCAAATTGTTTGCCTGATTACCCAATTATCATTTAATATCTTTGAACTCTAAAGCTTGGGTTCTGCATTGCAGCTATTGTTGGATATTTTACTCCTAATGGCGAGCCAAAGGCAGAAAAGAAGCTGATGGGGGCAGGCTGCTTGGAATGAAAGGTATGAGATTCTTGGTGGAGGAATTATGGGTATCGGTCAATTGTCACTGTCTCATGTTTTGCATAAAACAAAAAAAGGTTCTGATTACTTACAAATTCTCACACTTCCAGTCTTTTTTTTTTGTAAGCCAGTTTTTATATTAAATAGATTGAAATGATTGCAAGCACTTGAGTATGAAACAGGTTAATTTTAGTTCATGAAAATTGCATTAAAAGTTTTTTGAGTAAAATCTTTATTAATGATATCGTCAGGTTCTCTTCTCATCCTCACCTTTGGGTATATCGCTGTTGTTTTTGGGCTTATAGATTTTCTCCATCTCTTTGATTGTAATCTTTGATGTTTGTTCCTCTTTTTTCTTTCTTTTTTTAATGAATTCTAATGCCTGATATAGTGGGTCTTTGATTTTAATTTTTGTATTTGTTTTAGTAAAAAGGGTTTGACTTTGTGATCTCTTATTTTATTAAGAAGTATTGTTGATTTGGAAATAAAGTTAAGATTTCTGCTTATGGCTTTTTTTGGACTAGTAGGACGCAGGGAAAGAAAAAGGATGGAAGATGAGTAAATGGAACAAGCTGGGAGAAAGAAGCTGTCTGCTTCAGCCATTTGCATCTACTACTGAGAAGGTATAGACACTATGACAATCATTGTTTCCTTTTTGTCATGTTTTACTCCTCAAGAGCTAGAAAAAGCCATGGATGAAAATTATGGGAAAATAGTTGATGAGAAAGCTCATATTCTAAAAGTCAAGATGGAACTCGGTGATCAGCTAGAATAACTCACTTCAGAATCTGATCTTTAAGGTCACGTGGAGCTGGATCAGCACTTACTCTCAGAAGGAAAACCCTACATTATTAATCTCTTCTCCACATTATTAATCTCTTCTCTCTTCTAAGGTCCCCCTTCCAAAAATTTATTGATGAGTAGATTATATGATGCATGCATAAGCTTTTAAGGCTTATACTGTGTGCTTTTTGTGCCAGGTTCTAAGAAGGTTCAAAAAAACTGAAAATTGTCCTGTTCTAAAATTGACAATGTAAGGAATTTTTATGTCATTTTTTCCTCCTTCACGGGCGATTTTCCTTTCCTCTTTATTTTCATTTTCGTGGATTCGGAGTTTAAAGTTGTATAGTGTGGAATGTTCTCATGCAAGTCTGATTGTTATTAGTATCAAATGCCCTTTTGACCCCTGCAATAGTCAAAATTTCTCATTCTAGTTTTATTAATTTTAATTAGCTGGCCAACAAAGTAGATATTTCTGCCTCAGCTGATAGTGGAGAAAGAAGGTTGGTTATGACTCCAGCTAGGCTTCGGATTCGAACTTGCAAATGGTCTGTGGCTTTAGGCCTTTACTAGTCTAGTATAATTCAAGAAAATGCTAATGAAAAGGATATATGTGAAACAGACAATTATGTCTCATGCCTGCTGCTTGTGAGCTGAACATTAGTCAGAAGGACTTTTGGTGGTTTATTTCTCTTCTTTACTGACTTTAGAGTTTAGATGATTAAAAAATGTAATCATTACAATGATGATGATGATGATAGGAAGCCCAATTTAGAGTATTCATTGGCCAATATGTGTTTTGTATGGTAACATTTTTCAATCAAACTTAAAGAGGATTTTGATATGTGCATAATAATACCAAGTACAGTTTCTATATACATAAACTCCTAAATTATTAAGTTTTTCCTTTTTTTTTTAGCAAAGAAACTGAAGCTAACAGTTAAAGAAATGATTCTGGTTTTTAGAAATTATTTGTTATCGTTTTATTAAGATTTTTACTGTTTCCAAATTCTTCATCAAAACCACTAATATTTCTCCAATTTTATAATTGGAAACCGAAAGCAACTGCACAACAAAAAGTCCTATAACAGATAATATCCACACAGGCCCCAGTTGCTCGCTCTTTGCGCCAGGGGTACAACTAGTTTTAGAATATGGTTTTTGTTTTTCTGCATTTCTGGATGTTCAAGGCTAATGCTAGAGTAACATATATGTGCAATCATATGATTAACTGTGAAATCATTGATTATCTGGTTAATCTGATTCAAATTTTATACTTAAACCAAATATTTGCTGGTGACTGAGGTTTATTTTACCACAGCTTCATCTTTATCTTTATAATATTTAGGGAGATTCATCATGGAATCATTTTTTGTTCTGCCTTTTAGACTTCAGAGTGCTTCAGGTGCGGCTTTAGCAGATTGGCATTTGAGGACCAGCTTGAGGTTAGTCCTGGATTTCCTGTGCTTATGATTATTTTACTGGGCAGTCATGTTTACTATCTAATCTTGCTGAATAGCTGTGTATGTTCTTCTAAACTTTGAACAAATGCATTACATATTTGGCTGTCAAACCAGCTTGTTTAATTTTTTGATATTACAACAGTTCAAAGCTGTTTGTTAGATGCTCGATATCTTCAAATGTTTGTGAAGATGGTGAAGTTTTTCTTGCACTATAGGAGGTAGCACTGTATATAGCTTACAAGTTCTCAATTGTGTGTACATTGGTATTATTCATAGCTAGTGCTGGCCATGTGATTTAATCTTTAGCATTTTGTAAATAACGTCTGGACCATATAGCTAACACATAAATTCAGATGCTGTAATTTATGTATTCAAACTGCTGAAATATGAGCCTGATGAAATATGAACCTGATTACAGCTATGCTATCAAGCTGTTCCTGCAACTATTTGTGCATATATTCTCTCTTTCTAGTAGATATGGTTTTGATTTTTAATACTGGTTTAGATAACACTTGCATTTTTCTTAGCCTCTATTTTTCCAATCTAGTGATGTACTAAACTGGGTTTGATCACTATTTGTCTGTGATGGTCTCCGATTATTTTGGAGTGTGTTCCAATCACATGCTAGGTATGTCATGGAGGCATTATGGAAGTGATCTCCAGTCATGAGGTATTTTTTTATGTTGAAAGTTTCTTTTGCTTATTAGTTGTTCTTAGTTTCAGCCTCCAACTACAACCCCACTTTTGTGCAGGTTCTTGGTGAATAGACGTCCTTAAGTATGACACATACTTTTTGTAAGTTCATGCTAGCTATGTCTTGCACCTCCCGTCCTCTCTGATCAAACGTGGTACGGAATTGACATGTTGAACTAAGATGAAATTTTGGAAGATCATACATCTCATTCTGTATAGGGTGACCGGAGATATGTGGTGCTCAATCGGAGTTGCTCGCTAGTCAAGAAAAATTCCTCCCCTAACTTTTTAGTTAAAATTTGGACAATGACTAGCTTTCTATAGATGTCCCATGCCCCCAGCATAGTTTGTAAACTTTCTTGCATGTTTCAATGAAGATTGTGTTCTATTCTGGTTCTCAGACAATTTTAGTAGAAAATCTATTTGTTTTTGATGGTTATATTAGTTGCATTTTATATCCAGAAATTTTCTGAATTAAAGTAATAGCATCTTCTGTTATCAGGCAGAGGCCATTGCTTTTATTGAAGCTAATGCGGTGGCTTTGAATTGGGATACCAAAAGCTACATGTTTGAAAATTGCAGTGCTACGTATTCCGACAATAGTCTAAATTGAGGGTTACTTCGTGCTAGCTAACTGCATTTGGCAGATGCTAATGGTCATTTGCTAAGTACGGAATTTCATTTTATCCGTAGAATCATGCTTGCCCTTCTAGAGATGCGCATTTCTGATTGTGAGTTCTAGAAAGGGCCTGCATCGTTATTCCCGGTTTCCCATGGCTGAACCGGAAAGGCATTTTCCACCCACTCGTTCTCTCTTTGTGGTTACATAGGGGTGGCAATTCGGGTCCAAATCAGGTTGGCGGGTCGGGTTCTGATCGGACCCGTCAGAAAATCTGTTGACCCGAATCCGACCCGTCAATCCGTGACGGGTCAGGTATGCTGACCCGAACCCGAAAATTTCAGGTTGACGGGTTGATCCGAAATGATCCGAAACTTAATTTTAATTTATTAATTTATCACTGTAATTTCTAACAAAATCAATTTCTCACAAAATTAATTACATAATCAAGTACTAAAAATTTAAATAAATAATTTCAAGCCAAATTTAAAATAAATTAAACACTGTAAAAGTGTTTTATCCCAAACAAAATATAAAATAAATTAAAACAATATAAAAGTAAAAAATAATATAATATATTATTTATCCAAATATAATAATTTCAACTTCACACAAATTAAATAAATTCATTTAGGATTAAGTAATTAATGCCTTTGAAAAAAAGAATAACTTAGTTTAGTTAGATAAAATTATTTTTATGTTTATTAAATTATTTTTAATTCGTAAACGGGTCATATCAGGTCACCACGGGTTGACCCAAAATCGACATGTTTTCTTTTCGGATTCATCGGGTCCAACCCGATTCTGACCCGAATTTCCGAAACCTCAATCCAAACCCATTAATTTTGTGTTAGATTCGTGTCGTGTTTTCAGGTCGTGTCGAAAATTGCCACCCCTAACGGTATACATCTTCTTTCTGGACTCTACCATATTTCAATGAGAAAAATTATTATTTGTTTTTTTTACCCAAAAAAAAAGGAAATTATTTGTTTGAGATTGTCGTAATAAAGTTGGTGAATTTGGAAAATCAGTAGAGGACTGAAGTGATTCATGTTATATTCGTGGGATAGTTGATTTGGTGAGTTTCTCTAGGCATAACAAATTAGACGAGGGATGCCGATGCAAGTTGGGAAAACATTATTGATGAATTTCTTAGAGCATTCATGACAAGTCATTCATACATTTGTGCTTATACTCCCTCCGTCTCACTTTAATAGTCCTATTTTTCTTTTTCGTCTGTCCCAAATTATAGTCTATTTTCCAGTTGAAAAATGTAGTTGTATTATAATTTTTCTAAAATGCCCTTATTCAATGTAAGTTGTTGTTACTATAAACTTATCTCATTTAATGAGAGTTGATTCTTTTTTTACCATCAATTCAAGTTCTCATAAAGTTGTACTTTATTTAATGTGAGGGTATTTTAGAAAAATAGCTATCTAAATTTACTTTTTCAACAAAATTAACTACTTTTTCTTAAATTGTGTGAAAAAAAAACAGGACTATCAAAATGGGACGAAGGGAGTATATCTTTTTGTTATGTCATGCCATTATGTTGAAGAGACAGAATAACAACCTATTTGTAACACACTGCACTAACTTGAATGCAATTAGGATGGCAACGAGGTGGGTCATCCTTTCTCTGTGTCCCCGATGCCGTACTCTATCTCCCCCGATCCTCGGCTCATTCCCCACTTTTTCTCCCTTCCATTGGTTTCGCCCTCTCTGCCCGCTTATACCCTCGTCCTCGTGGTTGTTTAATTATATTTTCATTTGTTATTTTAACATCATTTTTTTAATTATATAACATCAATAACAATATTATAAATCACAAAAAAAATTGTAAATCACTTTTTTATATTCTTAGTTAAATTTATTTCTCTACTTTTAATAGTAAATCTAAACTTATAATCATCATATATGTTTAAACAGCCACTGGTCATTTGGTCCAGTGGTCATCACCATTAAAGGTGATGCTGGAGGTCAGGGGTTCAATCCCTGCCTCCCACAAATTTGCCATAATTTGTGGCGGTCTTAATTGACCTTCATCGATGGAGTCTGTACTCACATCGAACCCCCTCCCCTTCCCCTTAGATTAGATTATAGGACATCTATCGTTTCGACAAAAAAAATATATATATATGTTTAAACAACTTATGTGACGATCCCACCTCTCCCTAAAGCGTATACAAAGGTTTGACGGATCGCCTGTTCAACTCTTGTCAGACTCACTCACAAACTCCAATCAATAACACTAAAGTCCTTCAATACATCATTTGCATGCTACATCAAACGAGGCCAAGTTTTATCAGTATAGTCTAAAGTGCACAATTTCAATAGTTACTTATCCATAACGTTTTTCGCCCTTCTAGTTAAATGAAATTGCCATTGATTTTTGGCCTGTAAGAATTGTGGAGTTTGTTCCAGTAGGATTAACAATAAAATTGGAGGAAATGATCATTAGTTACAAATTTCGTGAGTTCAATGACTATATTGGAATGAAAAAAAATAGTTGAATAGTTTTGTGATTAAAAAAAAAAGAATAGTTTAATGATCCGTAAGATTTTTTTTCTTACCCAAAAATATACATGGTTTGTAATTGTAAATTGATCATATCTCATTCTCATCATAAGTTCCATGGGCATAAAAGATATATGATTCATTTGCAATATTTACTTTTGTGTCTCTCAAAATACGTGTCTATCTCCATATTAATGTCACATAATGTAACATTTTCTTTTGCCTTTAATAATAACCATTTAAAAAGTATACTGAAAACAGAAAGGAAACGTATCTAACTATTTGCTTAACTCGAAATAGTGTATAGAACATTTCGTCATTCTCCATATCAGTTTGTTCACACAAAAAAATGAGAAACAGAATGAAAATAGTAAATTTTTTTATGCACTATTAATATATATAGGGATGGCAATGGGAGCGGACGCCCGTGTATGCACGTCTCGTAGGGAGAGTAATGGGGCAAGGCGAGATCGGGGATGATAGCCCATCCCCTTCCTTTGCTTAAATTTATTAATATAAATAAATGTAATATATTAAATAATCTAATAATAATAAATTTAGAATATTTGACAACTAAACATAATTTTTATTCCATTGCTGTTCAAGTGTGAGTCCACTTGCTCTGTTCCAAAGCTCCAATACCAACACAAGTAGATAATATTATAGTCACCATTGCACGATTATCAAGTTTAACTATTGCTCTCTGCATTTCATCAAAAAGCTCCAGAACTTCATTATACCTAACAAAATTAGCCTATTTGGTGATCAATGCATTCCAAGAAAAACAACACACATCACTAACATTTTATCAAAAACCTTCCTTGCCTCGTTAACAAGTCTAGAATTGCCATACCCTAAAGGCATAAAATTCCTAGAGTCCAACTTCTTTATAAGCATCTCGCTAGTCAAATTATGAAACAAAAGTGTTAGAACATTGATTTGGAAATACAAAATTCCTAGTTGATGTTTGGCACAACCATGTTATGTGCTTTATGAGTATTCTCAAGTGTTATTTATATAATCTAATTGAGGTTCTTAATTTTTTTTTGGCATTTTATTTCAACACTTTTCTTGTTTCATTTTTCCTTTCTCACTTTTTCCACTCCATATTTTATTTCATTCGTTGAATTTAGCTTTGATCTATTAAATGGAGGCTTCTTTTTAAAAAATTAAATTATCACTCGTGGGCGCCCCCGTGAAACGGGCCAAAAGGGGCGGGAGTTTTTTAGCAATGGGACAAAGAACGGGGGAGGGATCCCCTGTTTCAAATCTGTCCCGTTGCCATTCCCCAAGTGTATACACGTGCATATCTATATACATGTTATATATGCAAAATTTGGTATTTAAATATAAATTGAAATGATATATTATGTATTGAAATCCTTCAGTGTATACACACACGTATATACTGACAACGTAGAGAAATTATGTAAAATTTAAAAGAAATATCAGAAGAAAAGGTATTTTATTATTATTATTATTATTATTATTATTTTTCCTTTTTCGGCCTTGAGGACGAAGCAATCTTTCCCTCTTCACCCGTGCAAGAGAAAGAATCTAATCCAGCACATCACCACCACTTTGAACATTTGCTCAGCTGTAGAGGTGGCAAAATGGGCGGGATTTGCTTGGATTTAAGATGAAATCGAGTCATATGGGTTTGGGTCCAATCTTACCCATATATGTTTTGGGACTAACTTGGGCGGGATCACTTTGGGATGGGTTTAGATTGATCCCGCCCAATACCCAAATATATTTTCTACATATTTTTTTCTTTTAATTTATTTTTTTTATTTTTAATATAATTTTAATATAATTTATTTATTAAATTTATTTTAGTTTTATTAAATAAACATGCAAGTGCTTTATACTCAGGATTATCACCAAAAATTGGATTAACAAATAAAGGAAAAAATAGATATACAATCATGACTATATAAATTGTTAAAAATAATTTTTGAATCTAAGACTCCGTTTGGATTGGCTATTTTTTCAAAAAATAAGTTTTTCAAATACAATGTTACAGTAATATACAATAACTCAAAAAACATCCCATCCATATTAGTATATCAAATATTTCAAAAAAATTTTATAGTAAAAATTTTTCATATACACTAATACAATAAAATATTTCAAAAACACCTCTTAAAAATAGTTAATCCAAACGGAACCCTTGCTATTTGAGCCCAATGGGTACCCAAGTATTTTCCAAAATTTTCCATCAATTAATGGGTACAATTGAGATTTGTCCCATTTTAAATCCACTATCAAATTCCAATACCCATCTCGCCCAAATTCTCAATGGGCATAGGTAATCCATTGGGACTTGGGATAAATTGCCACCTCTACTCAGCTGTCAGGTCAAACCGTTTCATTTTTCATTTTTTATTTTTATTTTTTCACCCCCAAAACTCCACATCTTTCACTTACTCCCTACCTATGCTCCCTCCGGGCGTCTCCCCTTCATTGGGTCATTGGACTTCCCTATGTCACCGACACGTAAGATTATTAATTCCTCAGAGGACAACCCTCGTGATGGTGCCGCAGTTGCTCCCTAAAACTAAGAATCCTCACTACTTTCATTTTCTGCCGCAACTAAATAACACGCACAACACACGCTGAGTTAGATAGCACTAGTAAAATATTCAACTAAATTAATACTATGTTGATGTTTGTTGGAAAAAAAACTAAATTAATACTACCATTAATCAACTAAATTTATTTTTGTTATTTTTTGGCAGAAAAAAATGTTTACAAAGTTGGAAAGTCACCTTGTTGGAATTATTTTTCAACAATTTTCTAACTTTCGAGGAGAGATTACCGAGGATAAGATTCAAACCCTAATTTCTAAATTTAAAATCGAGCTTCTTATCAAGTACAATAAATCAAACCTAAACTTTTATTGAGAAAGATTATCGAAATTCAAATCCAAATTTTTACTCAAGAAAATTAGTGATCACGTCTCCAATTTGACCATCTATTGAGGAAAGATTGCAAGCATGAGACTCAAAATCTGATCAATTATTAAGTAAATATGAATAAACTCGTACTTTACAAGTTGAGCCAATTTAAGTGTAGTTATAGTTATTTAATTTAATATTGAGTAAAATATTCCACTAATGTACCGAGGAAAAGATTCAAACTTGAGCTTCTAAATTCAAAAGAACTTGATTGAGAAAGATTATCAAAATCTAATCCTAAACTTCTACTAGAAAAATTAGTGATCATGACTCAAACCCGATCTTTTATGGAGGACACCGGACTTATACTTATACTCGAGTATTTATTAAGTAAAAATTTTTTGAAATTTTTGTAAAAAAATATATATTGTAGCGATTTGATAAATCTGAGATAAAAAAGTAATTAAAAAATATATTTATAAAAAATTTAAAATTTTTTTAAAGAAAAATAGCTTTCCAAACAAAAGCACGGACAAACTCATACTTTATTAGTTGTGCTATAGTTATAGTTATAGTTATTTAATTAGTTTTTCCTGCTAGTATATATTTAAAGGGAAAAAGTTAAAAAATTCAGATGTTTCATTGATAGAGAGAGAGAGAGAGTAGCTAGCCCCACCTAAAGACCAAGGGTCCGAGGTTCTTCTCTATTCTTCTACTTCAATTGATTGCTAATTCTACTAGGAGCCTGGGCAGGGAGCGAACAAAGGTGTGGGGATCCTGCGGTGGAGGAAGCTAGAGCTATTAGGAAGGGTATGTCCATAGCCATGAAGAATGGCCATAGCCATGAAGAATGGGTGGAGGGACATAATTTTACAATCCGATTGTAAAAGTGTGGTTGAGAAGATCAAATTGGAAAAGGTGGAGGATCCTCGGGCCAGTGCTGTGTTATTTGACATCCTGCATCTGAGGAAAGAGTTTCGGAATTGCACTTTCTCTTTTGTCAGACGGAATGGCAATGTGGTGTCTCATTCTTTGGCAAGGTTTGCCTTAAACTTAGTTGCTGATATAGATTGGAGATTTTCCTTTCCTAGCTGGCTGCTTCGGTTAGCCAACATTGATGTAGGAGCAGTTGCTCCAAGTGATGTAAACATTTTATGATTTTAGTGGAAATCTGTTATCGGTTGAAAAAAAAAAATTGATTGCTAATTGCTCTCTCTCTCTCTTCATTTTTTCGTAATTATATATAAATAATCGCAGTTGTAGTTGTAGCTGTATGTCCTCAATTATTACCAATGCATGCACATGCTTATCGCAATTGAGTTGTTAAGAGGATAATATATATATATATAAGAGAACAGTAAACCGATTTCTTCTTCGTGATTGCTGCTCCTGCTGGTGGTTTCGCTGGTATGTAGTTTTTTCCCCCTTTTGTGTTGCTTGAACTTGTTCTGAATTAATTTTTTGGTTGCTTGGACTTTGGACTTTGATTAGATTACATTCCTGATGTATTTTTCTTTTGAAACTGATATATTTTGGAATTTATTGTTATTGATTTTGCTGATTTATTTATTTTTTGGTATTTTTGCAGTTCAGGTTTAAGTTTGGCTGCTCTTCTTCTTCTTCTTCCTTTTTAGTTCATGATTTTCTCTCTTTTGTTTATTAAGATTGTCGGAATGATTGACTAGGCAAAGGATATATAATGGAATGTTATGAATTTGTTAAGTTGTGTGAATTGAGAAAATAGACTAGTATTTGGAAATGTTTTTATGTTCCGATCATTTTGGTAGTGAATTTTATGTAGTAAATGCCAAATTTGTTCCTGTGTAACCAGAATAAGTGTGGCTTTTTGAATTAATTTTTGGGTTTAATTGGAGATGATGGTGTACCAAATAGTTGAGCAAGGGGTAGTAAATGTCATATTTGTTCCTAGTTTCTGAGACTGCTGATCAGCATTTTGTTTAACCTCGGATAAAGGGTTCGATCAAATTTTACAACATAGTATCTTAGATTGCCTTCTTGAAACTGAGTTTGGAGTATGACGATAGCTCATGGAGTAGCATTTGTGAAATAGAATTTAAGTTTATTGGCCTGGGAGTTTTGCGTTCTCTCTAATATTAAATACTGTAATTTTCCCAGCTTTTCTGGAGGTCTTTCACTTTTATGAGCTATATGCATTATCACTTCATTCCCAAGTTCAGTGCTTTTAAGGACTCGCTGTTCCTTTGTTTGTTTTATCTCGATTTTTTTTAAGAACATTTATAAGTTTTTGTTCGTTCTTGTGGTAAGCTAACAGATAATGTGTAATGTCCTATTCACCAAACGTGATTTCTTTCTGGTTGTGTTTTGGGATTCTGTTTTCAATCAAATAACCTTTTGAATAATGCAGCTTGGAGGGTTATAGCCAGTATTACCATTGATGAGGTCGTTGCATTAGGAGTTGTTGGCCATTTTTAATTTGGACAAACCTCTCCTGCAGGTATATATTGTTGATGTATTTGGTGGTCACTTTTGTTTTGATAATTGCTGTTTGTATTCTGTGGAATGCATATTTTTTCACATTGCGTCACTGTGGACGTTACGTTATTTTAAATTTGCCTAGTATTGTGAATGATTGTTCCACCATATGGTTTAATTGAACAGGGAACATTTAAGCTCAGAATCTCCACCCCTTCCGCTCCTTCAATTTTGGATTCCTTGAATGCCCATTGTTACATTGCATTGTAAATCATTTATTTTAGCTCCTTCAATTGTAGGGGTAAAGGATAAAAATCTAATCATACTGACCAGAAGAAGAGTGTTGATGGAGTTGGGTTTACATTACCCCAGTAATTTGGATAATTACTTGTGCACTACCCCATGTACATACATGTTCAATTAATTGGAAAATATAAGCTACAGATGCAAATTCTAAAACTCTAGCTTCTTTGACAGAAAAATGACTATTGCCTCAACTTTTTGGGACCATGCTTGTATGTTGTTGGCAGTTAGCAAATAGTGATGCTGATTGAGCTTAAAGTCTGTTAACTTGCAACTACATTGCTTGATGGCATCAAAAGAGTTAATTTCAAAATGATTTTCAAGCTTATTAGACCCCTTCTGAGATTTCAAAGTGTACTTCCCTTTTCCACTCAAAGAAAAACTAGCATTACTTTATCACATTTCGATGGACTAGTTTAACATTTTCCTGATAGGAGACTCAACCCAATGTGCAAACGATTCAGTGATGGAAATAAGAAGGGGCATTTTTGTTTATTTGATGGCTTTGCTGATATATTTTTCAGCTGATTAAACTGGAGGAATGGGTATATTACAGCAATTTCATGTTACCAGCCACCAGTTGTTTTTATTCCTTGAGCCCTTCCTAATATGTCAAACAATCATTTTGGATGCTTAACTAATTGAGCTGTGCTACTGGGGTTCCTGTGACTTATTTCCATAATAGTTTAATGGGATGAAGCCACTTTATGCTTCTTTTTATTGAATTTCAGTGATTTCCTTTAACTGGCTTTTAGAGTATTTGTTCTGTGCAACCTTCTAGCATAATCTGCTTAATTGTGTTCTAGAATTGAATGTAGATTCTTACTACTTTTTCCACATTACTATCAGCCCTTGGAAAGAAAAATGGCTACTGACCTTGTCAACGCTGCAACAAGTGAGAAACTCTCTGAGATGGATTGGATGAAAAACATTGAAATTTGCTAATTAGTTGCATGTGACCACAGGTATAACCATTTTCAGATACCTTTATATAGCAGATAATTAACATTTTTTGGTCTCTCTGTCTCTCTATGCATGTTAACAAAGAACTTGCATAGTTCTAAGATTGGTTTCAGTAAAATTTTGTTCTTTATAAGGTCTTGTCTCGATTGCTGGAAAGATAGCACAGGTTGCATACAGTGAATGGCTTAATTAACTCTTGTGCTTCTTTGTTGCTTGTGCATTTATTGAAATTTTTAGTTCTCATCCAAGATTTATTTTTGTATTCCTGTTTCACAGAAAAGCTAGAGATGTAATCAAAGCTGTTAAGAAATGCTTGGGAAGCAAAAATGCTAACACCCAACTACTAGCTGTAATGGTGAGCATCTTCTAGGTTCAAAATCATGTAACAAAACTACATGTTTTCTCTTATTATAAATGAATAAGCTTTCAAATTAGGTGGTACACCAAGCAAAATTTTTTACTCACTGGAAGTTGTAGCAGAATTTCATATGGATTTATGTAATGAAGAACGGGAAATAGTGATTGTATATCTATTGAGATGTCTTCTTCTTTTTGTTAGTTTTAATATTTTACTGGATACCAACGTACAAATGGATGTGTTTGAGCTATACATGACTGGTCTAATTTAACATGCTATAATTATTTTCCATTATGGACACTCATTGATTTGTTTATGGTGACCGAACCATGATTCATTTGGTACTTGTTCAACATCTGGAAAACATGGTGGTCCTCAACTGAAAGACAAGCAGATATTTATACAACAGGAATAAGTGCATGCTTCATCTCCCGTGTTGTTCTTCTATCTAACGTAATGCTTCCTATTTAATGGGTTGAAACTATTTCATACACAACTACTCCATTAGATTTAAGTTTCTGCCTGCAAAAAAGAATTTTTAATTACATGAAACTTGTTTGAGGGCATCTATTACCCGGGCTGTTTCCTGGCCCCCCTCCCTATACGAATGATGAATGTGGGAATTTTCATGGCTTTAATCTTTTGTCGGCATTATTTCAAAGAACTATTATTAATCTGATATTGGAATATTAGTATTGCACCGTCAAAACGGGTTGGTTTCTGCATGACTTATTGATCATGCAGTTTACAGTCTAAGGTTTATGTTTTTGATTGATCTCTAGTCCTTTTTCTGCTATGCTTTCTTGGAATTTAGTACTTCAAATGATCAGGTACTAAATCTTTTTTAAATAGTCAGAACGATTAATAATTTTTAGTATTTCAGTTGCTGGAGATGCTGATGAACAATATTGGAGACCAGTCCATAAGCAGGTTATAGACGCAGGAGTCCTTCCTGTACTTGTAAAGATAGTAAAGAAAAAGGTTTGTCCTTTCTCTGAGCCAAAACCCAATTTCTTGTTTATTCAGTTTTTGCTTAAGTTAATTTTGTGTCCTTGATGTTCTACAGTTGGACCTGCCAGCACGAGAGAAAATATTTCTTTTGTTAGATGCTGTGCAGACGTCTGTTGGTGGTGCTTCTGGGAGATTTCCTCAGTATTATTCTGCATACTATGAATTGGTGGTGGCTACACATCAAGTTGTTTTGTATAGTCAAATCTGTCTGATTATCTCTTTAGTAGTTATCCTCGTCAATGAAAATCACATGCTGGTTAATTAACTTGGCTTTCATCTGATTCTCTTCTATTGCCACTTTTGCAAATCTGTTTTACAAAATCCTCTTTAGTATCTTAAATATTTGTTGATTTTACGTATAATTTATTTCGATTTCTGATCCACCAGGATAATGCTTCAAGATGTTTGGGAGAGCTTTTCGAGGTTCCAATTTCCCTTCTAAGCATTTGATTTAATTTGGATCATTTTTGACAATAGGTATTTTGGGAGGAAAATATCTAGTCACCGTATTATGAGTGACCAACTAGTATTTATAGGAGTACAAACCTAACAAACTATTTACAAGAATATCCTTACTAATTTATTATCTACAAGAATACTTATATTCTCTTAACACTTCTCCATCAATCAATTTCTCTTGAATGAAATGACAATCAACTTCAATATGTTTTATCCTTTCATGAAACACTGGATTAAATGCAATATGAACAGTTGTCTGATTATCACACACTAAATTCATATGCTGTTTATACTCAAACCCAATTTCAAGTGACATGCTCTTCAACCAAACCAACTCACACACAGGGTGAGCCATAGCGCGGTATTCAGATTCTGCATTTGATCTGAAAACAACTGTTTGCTTCTTACGCTTTCACGACACTAAATTACCACCAACAAACACACAATATCCTGTGGTCGATTTTCGATTTGAGGTAGAACCAGCCTAATCTGCATCACTGTATCCTTCAATATCAGTATATCCATGATTTTGATATAACAACCCTTTTCCAGGAGTACTCTTAAGATATATGAGAATCCGTATAACAGCATCCCAATGACTAGTACGAGAGGCCTCAAGAAATTGACTCACGACACTCACTGCAAACGAAATGTCAGGTCTCGTTACAGTGAGATAATTTAATTTACCCACAAATCTTCGATATTGCCTAGGATCATCTAGTAATGCACCTTAATCTCCAAATACTTTCACATTAGGATCCATAGGAGTATCCACAGGTTGGCAACCTAACATCCCAATTTCGCTCAGCATATCGAGTATATATTTTCTTTGACATAAATAAATCTCATATTTAGATCGAACTATCTCAATACCCAGAAAATACTGTAAATGACCTAAATCTTTGTCTGAAAGTTTGCTTGCAGATTGGATTTAAGTTTCTGGATTTTCACAACATCATCACCTGTAATCACAATATCATTCACATAAACAACTAATAAAATCTTACCAGCATTAGAATGTCGATAAAATACAGAGTGATCTACTCTACATCTTGTTAGACCGAACTCCATGACAACACTACTAAACCGGCCAAACCAAGCCCTAAGAGACTGTTTCAACCCATATAAGAATTTTTTCAGATGACAAACCAACCGCAAATTCTCCCCCTGAACAATAAAGTCAGGAGGTTGTTCCATATATATCTCTTCTTCCAAATCTCCATGTAAAAATGCATTTTTCACATCCAACTGATGCAATGACCAATTATAAGTTGCTGCCAAAGCGATAAGAAGACGAACCGAGGTAATCTTTGCAACAAGAGAAAATGTTTCTAAGTAGTCTATTCCATACACTTGAGTAAATCCTTTAGCTATCAGGCGAGCTTTCAATCGATCAATAGAACCATTAGGCTGTACTTTTATAGTGTATACCCATTTATAACCAACAACAGGCTTACCAGAAGGAAGAGAGACAAGATCCCAAGTATCATTTTGTTCCAAAGCAGACATCTCTTCTTGTATAGCTAATCTCCAACCAGGATGATTAAGAGCATGGGTAATAGACTTAGGAATGGAGACAGAATCAAGTGAAGCAACAAAAGAAGAATATGACATAGAGAGACGAGAATAAGAAACAAAATTAGAAATAGCATGAGAAGTACAATGTCTCTTACCTTTGCGTAAAGCAATAGGAAGATCTAACTCAGAGGAGGGTATCATACCTGGATTTGAAGATTGAGAGTTAATTGGTGAAGTGCGTGGCATATCAGGAGCTTTCTCAACCATGGAACGATGAGAATAAACTTGAAGGTTAGGATGAGATAATCGAGCTATGGAATCTGGTGGACTAGATAACTCATGTAATAAAGAGGAAGGGACTGGTAAAACAGGAGAGAAAAAAGAGGGACACTGATCTAACTCACAAGACATACTGTATTTCATAAAATATGGAGTGGATTCAAATAAAGTAACATCAACACAAGTAAAAAATCGATTTAAAATTGGACTGTAACATCCATATCCTTTTTGCGCTCGTGCGTATCCTAAGAAAATACACTTAATGGCACGAGGATCTAATTTATCTATCCCGGGAGCAAGCTGATGAACAAAACATATACATCTAAAAATACGAGGAGGTAATTTAAACACAGGTTCATGAGGAAAAAGAATGGAGTGAGGTAACTGTTCTCCAGTTCTCACATGACTGGTTGAGATCAAGTTTTGCTGGATTTTTTACACGAACAAAGTGGCAATCAATTTCGATATGCTTTGTTCTCTCCACTTGAAAAATGGTTTTGCATCTTCCCTTAGCCAAACCTTCTTTTCTTCCCCATCAATGGGTGGGTCATTAGTGAGATGATCATCTCTATCGATGCTGCGCAGATATATCCGAATAGTTTTACTCCAATCTAAAAAATTTTTTCCACTCAATTTGTGTTCAGTAATTTTTGATGTTGTAGGAATAACATAAAAAATTGCTGTTTTCATCTCTCTACTACTACCTTTCATATCTGCCATTATAATTCACACAAGAAAGACCTAAAAGTGACTCAATAGGGTCACGTCAAAAGACAAACTGTTATATATCTGCCATTATAATTCACACAAGAAAGACCTAAAAGTGACTTAATAGGGTCACGTCAAAAAGACAAACTGATAACAGAGCCTGAAGCTCTGATACCATGAAAACTAAGAAAAAGGGAGAGAAAATACTCTTCTTCATATCTTTGGACTACAAAATATACAAATATATATACACAAGTGTAACCTAATTTAGATTCTAAAATCATGCTAATCTGAATCAATCTACTACCTAATTAATATATGATACTATAATCAAATCTTTCATAATATTTACAATATCAAATCTTTCCATAATATCAGATCACATATCTTCAGCAGATTACTTGCTAATTGTGTATTCCAATTGGGGGCTTTTTTTCCTGGAGCAATGTTTTTCATTATAAGCTCTTTAATAAGAAAAATCCCACCAAAAAAATAAAATTGTATTAAAAAAAGGAAATTTCCCATGTTATAGGACTCAATTTTACAAAAACTTTAGTGCCAAGTTTAGTGAATTTAATATATGACACTTTAACCTTACATATGAGGTGGAAATATGCTCTTGTTATACCTTTTGTGGATAAATTAAAGTTCATTAAGCTTTAAAATCCTGTAATATGTGTCTTAATTGCTAACAGTAAAAGCATACTGGATGTGAAAATATGTCTATTTAAAATCATGTAACTATGTGTCTTAATTGCTAACAGTAAAAGCATATTGAATTTGTTGAAAGATGCAAAAATGTGTCTAAGGTAAAAGCGAGATGCAAAGAAAAGGGAGATCAACACTTCGTGAAATCCTACATACCAAAAAGAAAAAAAAGCTATATGACCATATCTACATCTTTGTCGAGATGCCATTTGATAACCTCAATAGGGCCATTGTGCTCCTACACTGTCTGTGGAGCTAATTCTGCAATTCCTGATTTTTGTATTGTCTTCTCTATGTTAAGTATGTTTAGAGGAATAGAAGTTCATTTATCACATGCTCTGTTCACCGACACAGTTTTTGTTACCCCATTAATTTTGGCAACATTAAATATGCTGCTAGTTGTGCCTCCTTTTGCTCTGTAGTTTCTTGTCATCTTATCTTTGTTGTTTTGAGACTGGATGCTTATCTTATATTATGTCTACAGCATTCTTTGATCCATGGTCACATATTGATTAACAGCTTTGCAAGCCTTAGCAATTTTTTTTTGTTGACTAAACCAATAAGTTGATGAAAAGTTGAAATTATTGGAAAAAATTAACCTCAAAGAGGGAGGGAGAAGGGGAGCGGGGGGAGAGAACGAGTGTGTGTGTGTGCCCGCGCATGCATATTTGTGCGTGTGTGGATGCATGTGTGCTGGATATCTCAAACGCATGCAAAATTGGTTGTAACTATGTTCAATGTGTTTAAAAACAACTATTTTGTTCGGTGTTTCAGAAAAACTCTCCTGGCTATTTTATTCTGTTTTTAGACAAGACTGTGACATGTTTCTCTATCGTATGGCGTGCTCATTTTTGATGCTTCACTGCCCTTTTCTTCTCCAGTATTCTTCAGAAGGCTGGAGCTGCACTGGAGGTTTTAAGAGAAGTACTTGATGCTGTTGATACTAGACATCCTGAGGTTTGTTGCTTGCATCTATAGTTGTTTCACCTTAGTGTTCAAAGTTTTAATTCATTTCTTCTACAATGGCATGATAAAGTTTTAAACTAGTCAAAGTTAGCTAATCCATTTCTTTCTTCTTTTAACTTAAATTTCCTGATAAAGGACCTGATTATGTTCCTTCATTAGCAGTGCTGTTTTTGGACTTTACGTGGTTTCCCATTGCAGTAAGTCAGTTCAGTTATTTGTATTTTTTCATCTTCCAGGGAGCAAAGGATGAGTTCACTCTTGATCTTGTGGAAAAATGTTCTTTTCAGAAGCAACGTGTCATGCATCTAGCCATGACTTCTCGGTAAGGATGCCTTGGTTGGCAATAATTTACTTGTTCAGCTAAACCTAATATGAGTCATAGGAGTTGCCTTTGTTTCCTCTACCGCCCTCCTCTCTCTCTCTCTTGCACACAGAAGAACACAACAAAATCAAGTAGTTTATCACTTTTTTCTGGCATTGTCTGTTCAGAGATGACAAGAAAAATAAATGTTCTAGATCTATGGAAGAATGAAAATTAGGTGGTCTAGAATAATTAAATTTTCAGTGAAGTTCTGAGAATGAGTTCCACCTATTTTTGTGCCTGCAGAATTTGTATATGTTCTCCCTGGAGGTTTTTCCATGTGTAACATTTTGATGTTTTGAGGAGTGCATTGCTCAAGCACAGTTAGCTAGAGTTGGACTTGCACTGACTTGTTTTGCTCCTTGTAAGTGACAGATCTAGAAATCCACTAGTCATATACGAGCCTTAAAAATGAGTACATATATCTTTAGACACTGGATGCAACATGACTGGTAGTAAGGGATGAGCTATATTACAAAACCTACTTAGACAATTCCGCCATTGAATCATGTTGTATGCACCTACATGGAGTCGATGCCTAGAAGCAGTTCTTGAACATCTTCTTGACGCCGAGGCTGAAATTTTAGATGTCTGCGGATACTTGTTGAGACATCTGACAGCTGTATAGATGCCTGACAGAACACTGCATAAATGTGCAGCATACTGGTACGAGTTATCCCACACATACGAAGAGATAGAAATGTAGTCAGTAAAATCTGCAGTTGACTTAATTTACTATACATATGCTTGAAAGACAACTGATTAATCAGAATATATGTTGGTCAAATAATTGGAGGAAGGAGGGGGGGTAGGTTACTGAAATTGATGAGTCCAGTTTGTGTTGTCATCAACCTATCATCTTGTTTGAGTGGCCTTGCTAGTTTAATAAAATGGACAGTGAAGTCCTGAATGCAAGCAAACAAGTAGACAGGAAAGGAATTTTTTCACATTGTTGTACAAATGTATTGGTGTAATGTTGTAATTTCTTATGATAGCCTTATGCCTCATGTCATGCACATTTTGAAATGTTGAGCTTGACTTCACATCTTGTTAAGAAAATATTTATTACTCTAAGCTTGACAAGTGAAAGTAAAGTTTGACTTTGGATCAGAACTTAAAGTAAAGAAATGACTAATGGTAGTACTTGATTTCCTCTTGATTACACTTTTCATCCGTATGCTAATATGAGACCACAGGGATAGGTGATCATGCTTGGCTATTAACATACCTTCTTGTATCCTTGATCCTGTGTATGGACAAGAAAGTTCTCTGCATCTTGTGCTAGAAGTCTATCCGAACAGACGTCGAAGTGGTGCTTGGATTTCTTCCTCTGGCTTCCCCTTAAATTACGTGCAAATATTTTTTTGGGGCCAAATTATTTGCAAATATACTTCTGAAGAAAGCTAAGAACTTAGAAAAGAGGGTAGGAGGCAGTACTTGCCGTCTCCTTGCTGTTTCAACTTTCAATCATTTATTCTTCTCCTTATTTTTACATGTTTTTGATTTTTTTCTTTTTTAAGTCAACGGTAGATCTTCCATGTATAAATGTAGATGCCTCCGGTTGGGACTCTGAAAATCATTTAATCTTGATACTTTAATTTTAACTTGTGCTTCATTGTGTGCGGTTATAGTGCTGAGATAATTCTTACAACAGTTAATCTGTCTGGAGTAGATTGTAGTCACTTGCCTTGCCTAGGAAATTTCTCATTTTATTGAGCTATCCTGAATAAGCATATAATGCTGAAGCTGCTTCTTGAGAACTCTCGTTCATCAAGAAATCGAGTTCTCATAGGATAAACTTCCTTTCATTTATTTTGCATTTTTGGCGTGCTTATTTGGTCTTGGACTTGAGACATATTTCCGTGGTGATTACTCATGGCAAGGGGTAAACTAGCATCTAGTTATGTCTTTTTGATTGGGAGCATGACGTATTTTGCGGGTGCAAAGGAGAGAGTGGAAATGGAAATAAGAGGTGGCAAAATTTTGAAAACTTCGGAAAAATAATTATTATAAGGGACTGTTAGAGTCTGTGTGTTTTACGGGGAAATTTCATATTTTGATTTGTGTTGTTTGTCTATAGGGATGATAAAGTGGTTTCTCAATCAATTGAGCTGAATGACCAGCTTGAAAGAGTTCTCAAAAGGCATGATGCACTTATCTCTGGAAGGCCAACATCCACATCAATTCATGTTTACCATGAAGAAACAGAGGAAGAAGAGGAGGCTGAACAGCTTTTCCGCAGGTATGATCTCTTGATTGCATACAAAATCTGCTTTTATACTGGAGCTTAAAAAGTCCTGGTTACGTAGTTTTACTAGTTTGATTAATGTACAACACAATCATTGGTAGGATTAGAAAAGGAAAAGCCTGTCTTCAGCATGAAGATGAAGGCCCTCAAATTGATAGGTCACTCTGTCAGCTTGGATCTTCTGCACGAGCAGAAATACTTAATCGCCCGCTTATATGGCCACTGACTCTGGGACCAAAGCAAGACTCTAATGGAAGCAGACCGGCAGTTGCAATTCCACCACCTCCCGCAAAACATATCGAGAGGGAAAATTTTTTTCAGGATAACAAGGTGGATGGTGCTGCTCTTGCTAGTCATGTTAGGGGTCTTTCTTTGCACAGTCGAAATGCAAGTACTAGTTCTCGCAGTGGCAGTATGGATTTTAGTTATGACAACTGTCATTGATCTTGTATTTCCCAATTTTTGGACTTTGAGGATGTATTTCGTGACGCATGCTTTCATGGTGGTCTTTATTGGTTGTTTTCCAAAGGCGTGTAGCATGCTTTTGTCTGACTGTATGGAGCAGCTGAATCTGCATGGAGCAGCTGAATTTTCCGCGATAGATTAGTTCCTTAGGATAATTACTCCAATGTTAAATTTTCCTTTCTTGTTCTTTTATAGGAACCAAGTTGTTTGTTAACTAATCGTAACGCCAGGGTTTGCCATTGCAGAATTTTTCTATGAAGTATTTATTGGCATTTCTGTTGATATTAAATGATATTTGATGCATCGATTTATATTGCGACTCTAATGGTCTTCTAGAGCACGTGAACAAGCAACTTCGTAGAGTATAGATGCTCTTTCTCTGGTAATGAACTTAATTATATGGAAGTGAATGTGAGAAAACAATTCTAGGGAAGATAGGAGTGTGTATTAAAGCGGCTCAAATCTCTGGAGTTGTTTGGTAGAGTTGGTATAATTCAAGTCCAGGGCAAGAAATACTAAAAAATTGTCGAGGTGGTAGGTATAATATAAATAATTTCTTTGGAGATTCTTGTGCCTCTCCCATGATTTATATAAGAATTCACAGTTGTATTGAAAAAACTTGCAATGTCTTTCCTTAATTTAGTGACCTTCGCCGTCTTCCAGCTAGAAGGGGCAGCCCGTTCCTGTGGAACATATTCGACAGAAGCTGGCGAATGGAGCAGACGCCCCGAACCTGGGTGAACTTCATGCGAGAGTTCAACGCTAAATTCTTCCCTCCTCTTGTCCAGGAACGGAAGGAACATGAGTTAATCCGACTTCGCCAAGGGGCCCAGTCTGTAGCGGAATACGTGAGTCAGTTAACCCGCCTGTCCAAATTTGCTCCTGAGCTGGTCATGACCGAGCAGCGGCGAATAAGGCGTTTTATCCTGGGCTTGAACGTAGAAATTCAGAAGGACCTCGCGGTGGCCCAGATTAATGCTTTTAGCTAGGCCGTAGAGAAGGCGCAACGAGTAGAGAATGCTGGGCTGTAGGAGAAAAACTTCCAAGCCAAGAAAAGGGGCTTTCCTGGGAGTAGCTCTGAGCAAGCAGGTACATGTACGCCCCCTAAGATTGGAAAGGGAAACGGGGGAGTACGACAACCAGGGGTGTCGCGTGATGTCTCTCAGGGGGGACCGGTCTCTGCTACTCGTGGTCCCTGTGGATATTGCGGAGGGCCAAATCATACGGAGGCAAATTGTTGGAAGAAAGAGGGAAAATGTCTACGCTGCGGAAGTTCGATAATCGGATTGCTGACTGCCCAGTTCGATTGCGAAAAGGAAAAGGGACCCCGCAACCCATTAAGACTAACCCTGGACAGTCGGAAAAGGAAGGAACTGGATCCAAGGTACCGACTCAAGTGTACTCTTTAGAACACCATCAGGGTCCTGACTCGGCTGAGGATGGAGAAGGTACGATCCGTTGGGTGCCTTAGATTTTGATAGATGCCATTGATAAGAAAATTTCGAGGACGAAATTTCTTTAAGGGGAAAGAGTATGCGGACCCGTAATTTTCTTAATTTCTAGGGTTTATTTTCTTTTAATTGCACGTTTTTCCACATTTTCTTCATTAGAAAAATTTTTTAATTAATTTTTATTAGTAAATATAGTTTTTAGATGATTTTTCTAGTATCGGTTTGTTTTTGAGAAATTAAGAGCATATACCGGACGTGGGACCCGCTAGTGCGGAAAGTTCGGTAAAATTCGGCCAATTAGGTTAAGTGTTGGATATCAGGTTTATTTTAGCAGGTGTTAAGAGATAACTAGAGGATACTAAGTGAGTTGGTGTGAGAGGGACAAAAGGATAGCATGCATTAATTGGAGTGACAAGTGTCACTTGGAGATTAATTCTTGCATTTCACCACTATTCACTACTTTACCAATTTATCAAAAATTGACCAAAAATCCTCTTTATTTTCAAGCTTCTTGGCCGGTTCTCTTTAAGAGGAAAAGAAGAAAAACTGTCTCAAATTCTTGCTCCAAACTTGCTCAGTCCAACAAACGAACCGTTTAATCTTGAAAGTTCTCCATAAAAATCCTTCTCTTAGTAGTTGTGAGGTGATTTGTGAAGTTGTTTGAAGGCTAAGGTGCTAAGTGGTCTCCTTTCTTGGTTGTTAAGGTGAGTAGCTAAGGGGCCTCTCTTTCTTCTCAATAATGCTTAATTAGTGACTTATGTGAGATGAAGTGATGATATCAGGTGTTGTTTCATGATTTTTGGTAAAAATTGTGTGAAGTTTTCTATTTATTCATGATTTTTCTGTTTTCATATGATTAATATTGTGTGGCCATGGATGATGGTTGGGAATGGTTTAGAATGAAGCCTTAGGGCTGTAATTTGTGGCTATTTGCGGAAAATTTCCGCTTCGAAGGAAATTTCGGAAATTAGGGTTGCAATTGAACCAATTTTTCCCGGTACTATTTCCCCTAGTTAGAGGCCGAATTAGCCTTGGGCTAAAACATGAAAGTTGTAGAATTATATTTTATAGATTCCTACAAACTTTTAGGCCAATCGGAGCAATGTACCCTATGAAAAGACTGAAATAACCCTGCTGCCCTGTTTCTGTCTGAACCTGGTAATCAGCTTTGGTAATTGGTTAATTTGATTGGGAATACTATTGATTTGGTTCTTGATGTCTTCTTAAGAAATATACCCTAGTCTCTTAGCTTTCGGATGGCTTTAGAATCACTTGAATTGGACTTTGGTAGGCCTGAATTATGGTTGTTTAACCAGAATGCGGTTTGCTAACCCGTCTATGCGGTTCTGGTTTGGTACATTGAACTTTTGACCTAGATACATTGTAAACTAGACTGAGTGATCTTCTATAACATTGTAGCCCTTTCTGTTAGCTTCGAAACGGTGTATATTTCACCTTCATCCAATAATCGTAGTGCTGGTTGTGTCCAATACACTAGATGACGTCAAAATTGTTTTTGGGTTTTAGGGCATTCCGTTACTCGATTTTGGATGTGAAACCTTCAATTGGTTTACTTTGATTATTTTCAGGGTTTCTAAGCGATTAAAGCCAATCTGAAGTGAAAAACTTTGAAGTATCTGTGCTTGAACCGGTGAGTGTACCACTCTCCTCATTTGCTGCTTAACTTGATTTCTGCCCTGCAATCTGTGATTTAAATGACTGCACTATCTTTATTCTGTTTGAGACGAGGGTGTACTTTATCACACTCGTTCTCTTGTCTGTCCATATGCCTATTTACTGTTAATCTGTTAACTGTATCTGAATCTGTTCGGACGTCGTTTGGAGGCTGGTATCCAACGACCTTTCTGTGACCTCTGAACTCAACACTTGTGGCTAGTTACTCAAGTCGGGCCGGCAAGGGCCTGGTCGATTAGATAACGAACCACGGTAGTTTGTTTCAGGAATCTTTGGGTATTGAGACCCTTAATTCCGGTATACTCGAGTATTAGCACTTCTGTTCTGTTTGGCGTTCGGGCCCGGTAGGGGTATGTTTGGTGGACGGAAATTGGTGTAAAGTGGGGTCTACGGATATGTTGGTTCTATGTACGTTGACGGAGAGTCAACGGGTTCGGATCAAATACTGCAAATGGAAATCTGGCTCTGAGAGCCACCTGTATCCTTTCCCTTTTAATCACTGTGTCTAACTGCTTTCCTTTATATCTGGTATATGTATCTGACTGTTAACGTGAAAGGCCATGATTTTACCCCTATATGATTGGTACCTCATTGAGCGTAAGCTCACCCATTCTGTTGCCTTTGTTTCCTTACAGGGAACCACTTTTGGGGACTATGATGTTTTGAAGCACGAGTTGAGCTAGTTTTAATATCTTTTGTAAAGCTCCTCGATAGTTGGAAAAACCCTGAATGTATTTTGATCCAATTATCTTCCTTTTGTTTTATAAATTACAATCGTATGTGTATAACACTGCTTAATCCTGTTTATGTGTCCTTCCGAGTTATATGACATGGCACCCGCTATCATCGACGGTTTTGATTTTTGTGTGGCTATTTTGCGATTTTGACTTGTTTGAGCGCGCTTTATTCTCCCGGAACGTTTTAGATCGTGTTTAACTGCACCGTTAGTCCTGGCGAGAGCTGGGCAGGCAGTCCGCTAACCTCTTTGGTTCGCCTTAGGGGAAGGTGGGGCTGTCACAGTGGTAATCAGAGCTACTTCGCGTGGTCTCTGCACGGAGTGAGTTTGGGCCAAGTGGTGTTATGGTCCTGCTTTCGTGAATGCGTCGAAAGGTATAAGTGCTCTTTTGAGCATAAGCTATGAACTGTGCATGTCATAAGTATAAAGATCTTTATCATGGGACTTGAGGAATATAGATATGTATGTCGCGGTAGGAATCTGTAATAAGGATGATTTACGCTTGGGACAGGCCGGCTCGAGTTGTGAATTATCTTAGATGGGATTCTTGTGCCCAGATACGGATGAGATGAGAGCCTAGGTTAGAAGGACTTGGGCGAACTAGAAATGTGATTCTATGGAATTTCGTGTGGTTTGTTCGGGTGTTAGTAAGCATGATTAACCTGGATTAAGATTAAATTGGGGCATTCTCGATTAGGGGATGGAGGCCACCTAGAACAGCAACAGTAACATCGACATATCTTACTCTACACTAATCCAAATGACCTGAAATTTTACAGGCACCTCAAACACATCAATACCTACAACTTTCATGTTTTAAGCAAAGACCAATTCGGCCTCTAACCACATGATTCAAAACCGGACAGAAAAGGGGGTTATGAAACCCTAACTTTTCCCATTTCAAACCAAACCCAAAATTGGTTGCATTTATCAATAATTCACACCTACTAGAGTCATAACCCTCATTATCAACCATCATAAACAACCACAACACCATGATCACATTAAACCAGAAAATTCCTCAAAAAATAAAAACTTCACCAATTCATCACAAACCAAGAAATAAATCACATAATCCATCACTTTAGCTCCCATTAGGCACAAATTAAACATCATTAAGTA